GGGGGCGGGGGGCGAGGAAGGGGAGGAGGGAAGGTGCTGCCGGCGGGACTGGGCAGGATCGCGCCGAGGAGGGAGGGGAGGGAGGAGGGGCTGGGCGGCCTCGGAGAGCAGGGAGGAGGGAAGGATTCTTGAAGCCCAAGATAAACAAATTGTTCCTCTTCACGTGCGGGGTGGGGGGAGGTGGGGAGGGTGGGGAGTGAGCGCGGCGGCCTCTCCTCTTCCCCTCCCCCAAGCCGGCTCTTTGTCACGGAACGCCCAGCGAAAGCCCGCGCCCGCACCCGCACCACCTCCGACGCCGACGACCCCCAGACCGGGGACGTGCGCGAGTTATAAGCCGCACAACGAGAGGGCCTCCCGCGCCGCCGATCGAGGTGCGGTCTGCAGGGGAAACGCGAGAAGGCGCGCGGCCCCGCTACGCTCCCGGATTCCCACCGCCCGCTCCACTCCGCACACGCGCGCAGCCCAAATCCGGGCCGTGCGGCGGCGGAGGGGGCTGCAGACACCTTTCTTAAGCTTCCGGCTCCCCCCAACGAAAGGAAAGCAAAAGAACCGGCGAGTGGAGATAGGAGAAAGGATTCTACCCTCAGGGTTAGGGGGTGGGAACTGCCCCTTCCTCCCGGAGAAGTTAAGCCATTGGCTGCTCCTCCTACCTCCAACCCACCCACCCAGCCATTTAAGCCTCTTTCACCTCCCTGCTACCTTCCACTCCTCCGGGCTTATCAGAGTGCCCCGGAAAGTTGGCGGGGAGCGGGGCGGGGGAGCAGCGGAGAAAGCTCTGTGCAAGCAAGTTTAAGAGGAGGAGGGGAGAGAATCCCCGGGTGGCGGGGATGGCTTAGCCTTTTTCCCGCCCCGGCGAGTGCCTCGACCCTCGGAGCCGCTCCACCTGCCGGGCCGGCCCGGGATCTCGAGCTGCGAGGGAGCGCATTCGTGCCCCGCATCCGCGCGCGCTCTCGTGGACGCGCGCGCAGCCACCTTCGCTTGCTTCTCACCCACCTCAAAGTTCATTCACAAAACTCTCAGACTTTCTCAGCCCAAAGAGGGTGAGCTGGGGAGAGGAGACGAGAGCATCTCCCTTCCTCCCCCTCCTCTTCCCCCCAGGTTCGAGGGCCTGGTGCCCGCCCAGAATCTGCGACAGCATCCATTTCTCCCTGCACTCGGCGGACGTGCTGAGAGGGGTGGGCGAAGGGGGACCGGTCTGGGGAGCCCAGGCGGCCAGGCGAGGGGTGGGGTGGGGAGCGGTGAAGAGGAGGAGCGAGGTTTCAACTCTGGGTTCACTCTTTCAAATCGGTATCTAAGAAAGGGAGAGGGGGGTAAAACTTTTCCAGGGCCTCACTCCGACGCTCCTCCAGGCTCCCTCCGCCCCTCGCAGTCGTGACTGGCTCCCCCTCTCGCCCCCTCTTCCCCAAATCTGACAACCCTGACAGATGAACAGGTAGCGGCGACGGCAGCTTTTACCTCACAAAAGTTGCCGTTAACCCTTCGGCTTCAGCCCACTTCGCCCGCCGTGCAAATCAGATCCCCGTGCCCCCCGTGTAAGAAGCTCCACGCCCCCCCCCACGCGCGCGCCCCGTGCCCGCTGCCAGCGCGCCCTCACCATGATCAGCGTGTGGTTCCTCTGCTCCGCCGAGGCAGCCTCCGCATCTTGCTGGGGTTTGCTCTGGTGCTGTTGCTTGCCCGTGCCGGCGCCCGATTTCTTGGCCCTCTGCTCCAGGGTCCGCTGGTAGAGGCTCACGGTGTCCCGGCGCTCCAGCTCCAGCTGCGCCACCTGAGCCTGCTGGTACCTGTTCTCGCAGTTGACGTGGTGCCGCCGGCAGCCCTCGATGCGCTGGCGGAGCCGCTCCACCACCGTGCTGTGCTTGGGGACGGCCGCCGAGCCGCCGCCGGGGCCCCCGGAGCCGCTGCCGCCGCCGCAGCCGGCAGCCGGGTGATTGCTAGTCGGAGCAGCGGGAGTACTATTGGGAGTATTATTCACACCGATCCCGGCCCCGCCGAGGCTGCTGTTCAGGCTACTGTTGATGCAAATACTACTGCCATTCGCGGCAGCAGCGGGGGCTGCGAAATCCCCCATCCTGCTCCCCGGGCACACTATTTTGGAAGAACTTTTTTTATCCACCCCCCCTATCAGCCTCCTCCTTGGGTCCAAGGATTAAAATAGTTTAAGTGGAACGCGGGGGAGACGCAAGCACATGGATGGAAACAGCGATCCCGACCGGGCGAAAAAAAGGGGGAGAGATTTTGGGGTGGTTTTGTTTTGTTGTTTCCTTTTTTTAAACTGTAAAGCTCGAGGGGGAAAAAAGGGGGGTGTTATCAGAATACCATCAGACACCTATCAACAAAAAGAATCACAACAAACTGAGCCAGCAGCAAATCGGGTTGCAACTCAAGGGAAGATCCGTTCTTCTCCTGCCTTCTTTTTATAATCCATTATTTTCTAATAAATTCCAGGAGATTTCCGGTGGTTGGCAAGCATTTTCTCCCTACGTACCGAAAAACACACCCCATGTACACACACAAGCATATGCCTCCAGTGCGGACACGCGCGACACACACTCACTCCACACCGCATCGGAAAACGGCAAGCTTGCTTATTGCATTTTCCTTCCACAAAAAAAGTTTTGGTGTTTATGCCGCCCCGTGTTCTCAAAGTACTTTGGCTGCTCAGTTGCATTTCACAGGAACCTAGATATCGAATCCTCGGGCTGGGGGAAGTAAACACATGGACAGTCCGAGGCGACTGCAAAAGTAGATCGGTGAAGTCCTTTGCAAAACGCCGTGCGGAGAGCAGCCCCTAACGCTCGGCTGGGCTGCCGCTGCCGCCGCTGCTCCTGCCACCATCACAATGATCAACTGCTCGCCGCCGCCGCCGCCGCCGCCGCCGCCGCCTCCTCCTCCTCTCGCTCCTCCACCTCCTCCTCCTCCTCCATGCCAGCGGAGTGATATCAGGACGCGCGAGCTCAGTAAACACGGCAGCGGCGGCGGCTGGAGGCCGTGAGACAAGCCCGGGGACACGGCGCAAAACCCGGCGCGGACTCTCCGCCTGCAGGAGCGGGCACGGCGCGCACCGGCACCCGGCTCCCGCCTCCCTCTGCTCGTCCTCCCCGCCCCTCCCACGCCCCCAACCTCACTGCCACCCGGACTGGGAAGCCGGCGCTGCCAGAAAAGAGAAAAAGAAAGATTCTGGGGGGATCTCGGGAATGAATCAACTTTTGACGCGCGCGCGCGCGTGTGTGTGCGCGCGCGCGCGCGCGCGACTGTGTATATGTGTGTATGTGTGTGCGCGCGGACGACCGTGGGGACGCGCCTGGCTGGATATAATTTCCCTATTCCAAACGAAGTATCAAGCGATCCCAAGTTGTTGTTATACGTTTATACATTATATTGCAGAACTGTGCATGACCAGGCAGAAACATTGAAGCTTCGCAGCAGTTGTCTGTTATCCCTATCCATGTGGAAAGAAAAAGACAAATGAGTGGCTTGTTTTTAAAACCCAGGTAATAAGTCCTCGCTAGTAGTAACCCTGCTTGTGGACACTTGTTCAAACTCTAGGCCAGTCTTAACACACAAATGCCAAATTATGAACAAAAAGAAATAGGCAACAAAATATTTGGAATATTATTTAATTGGCTGTACATAATGATTGTTGCTATTAGGGCAATTATTGTTTTACCTACCCTTGGAAAAAAAATTAAAATAAAGCAAGCAGGGACATGGAGGTGAGACGAACAGTACATTTTAACAGACTGTTTTGAACACTAGGTGCTAATGACAGCAGTAATTAAGGGTCCTTCGTAAATCAAGTGGAAAGATTGCAGATTTCATGGATTAGAACTATAGGAAAAACACAGTATTTCACAGTTTGTCATAACAAAAACAAGCAAATATGACAGGCATACTTTATTGCTAGATATATTTCTTCCTGTTTAAATGAATTCACAATAAGTACAATTAAAATGGAAGAACAACCACAGAAAGTAATCTAAACTTTCTGTCATCTCCCCAGATATTGAGTATCAAAAAAAAAAAAAAAAACCCCACCAACAACAACGAAGGATCAAATATAATATCCTTGAATCTGGACTCAACCCACTGCAAATACATAATTTTGAAAAACTTAAAATGGAGAAACTGTTTCTGTGATCATTAGTAGGACAAAAATCTTGATTGTGAGCTGTTAATAATAAGGCATTTTGTATTATCTCAATAAATCGTATAGAATTAGTTTTTTGGGTAAAAATACACCTCAGTTTTCTAAAATAGCCAGGAATAAAAGAACTTCGGATCTCATGCATTAGTCATGAGATCTGATTTAAACCATCTTCATTTCTTGGCATTGCAGATTAGCATAGGATGCTATTTCTAACCTCATAGTGTCAGCAATAAGAAGCTATGTTTTTCTTCAATTAATCAGGTCTATATGGTGAACTATATCTTTAACATCCATTGAATTATCTGGTAAAATGGGCAGCAAAATCTTGATTGGCATGGTGTGAGGTTACCTCCAAGCAGTGAAACCAATGTGAAAGAGTATCTTTCACTGAAGTTGCCATACTTTTTCAGAGGGCTAGTTAGTTACCATACAACTTTGTGTATCATAACTAACTGCCCCTCCTTCTAGGAAATTAAACTGAGTTCTATAGCAAAAAGTCAGTTCTGATTCCAAAAACATAGAGAAAATTATAAGAAATTATAGAAAAAGACATCACAAAGTGGCCTTTGTCTATTGCACATGTTCACTAAATAATATCTGTATTAATTCAGGAAACATATGGTTTCACTGCAGAGAGGAAGCTATGACTCTGCATTCACTCGCCTCTCTCTGCACTAGAGTCTAATTCTTACCCCTCCTCCTACCCCGTGGCACCTATATCACCCATACAAGATTGCGATTTGATTTACAGAGGCAGCAAGTTTGAGGGTCTTGAGCATTGAGTCTTTAGTCTGGAGACTTGGGTTCTAATTCTAGCTTTTTTCCTATGCCTCAGAATTTAACTTTTCACTGAGAGTTTGTCATTCTGAAAAAACAATTCCAACGATAGCAGCAACATGCATTCCCATTGAGCTGTTTACCTCTCCTACGATGAAAGGAAGCCAAAAATACACAAGAATTTGCATCCTTCCTTTTGAGGCACGAGCAGGTGGAGGATCACATTTTGTGGCTTTACCCCAGAGCTCCCTGAAGACAAGTGGAGCTACTCTTGCACAGCCACGGTGTAGTTTGCTGCCCGAGTTTAGTGCATGAGTGGACTACAACACACACAAAAAGGCTGGCTGACTGTTCATGGGTATGTGTACATACATACACACACACAAGGCACCAATCTTGTATCTCAAGACAGTGGGAGTGGCAGCCATGAGCTCCAAGACCGAAATGCGGAGAAAAGAAGGACTGTGAAGCTGTGTGATGGCGAATGGGGGTGAGTCTTTGAGGAAACTGACCTGTGCAGTAAGTCTTCCACTGTGACACACTTGAGGTCGGAAACCCCATCCTAACTGTGCAGGACGATTAGAAGAAAAAAGCAGGAAGTGAACAAGACTTAAGTCTTGAGCAACATAGGCAAGTTACCCTGAATTAGAGATGTTCATCTACTCCAGTGACTTTAGAAGAAGCAAAGGCTTTTATACTGGCTACTTTTAGATTCTCATGATATCTCTTCTAAGGTTGCCAGCTTTGCTGGTCACCATCGTAAAGTACTCCTTGAAAGTCATAGAGAAGTCCACGTTCTGGGGAAGCGATTTTAGTCCCTTCTCCCTACCAAGCACCCTGGTATCACGACCATCTTTATCTTTTATGTGAGCCTGCTACAAAGCCAAACTGCCGGATGGGAGCTATGGACACATCATGAGTGCTATTGCTCTAGAATGGTGAAGAAATCTGAGATGCCGTAGCAGTGACGAGAAAGAAGTTACGTGGTTGTATCCCGAGACTTTGATGCTATCAACCTGGATGCCAAAGAGGAGAAGGGCTGGATGAAGAAAAGCCTGTGCCACGTTGTCCTGAGGCTCTGCCTCTAAGCCAGAGCTGGCAGTTCTAAGAAGTTGAACCGGATTCCCTGTTCTTTAGGTCAACTCTGCGTCATCCTCCCATGTCCATCTGATAGGGCCCAGTGTCTCAGAGTCAAGAAAGAGGTCTCTGTGTAGAAACTCCAGTGTATGTGCCACTTCTGCAGCCCTATTAATGGGGATCAATAGCACTGGCTTCCTAATTGTCCCCTAAAGAATACTTGGTGAACAAGGGAGAATAGGAATCCCCTGCTGCCCACCTACAGGTAAGCAAACCTTTATATGTGCCCACAGAGTGGGCCCAGGCAGTCCTGAATTACTAGCAGCAGTGGGGTGTGCCCTCAACCATCTGACGAGAGCTATCACTTCAGTAATTCCACAAATATAGTGATGGTCTGCTGTGTGCCAGGCACTGTGGTAGGCACTGGGGATACAGCATGACAGTGTATAGAACACAGTCCCTATGGACCTGGAGATGATCATACTAAGTGCAGTAAGTCAGACAGAGAAAGACAAATATCATAGTATATCACTTTTATGTGGAATCTAAAAAATAGTACAAATGAACTTATTTACAATACAAAGACAGACTCACAGACGTAGAAAGCAAACTTATGGTTACCAAAGAGGCAGGAGAGGGGAAGGATAAATTGGGAGTATGAGATTAACAGATGCACAGTAACCACATATAAAATAGGCAAACACAAGGACCTATTGTATATAGCACAGGGACTACATTCAATATCTTGTTATAAACTATAATGAAAAGAATTGAAAAAAAGAATATAGATATATACATATATATGTATAAGTGACTCACTTTGCTGTTCACACGAAACTAACACAATATTGTAAATCAACTATACTTCAATAAAGAGGAAAAAAAAGAAGAACACAGTCCCAACCTCAATGATGGCCAACTAGACTCAGGGCGGTAGATGCAGGGACTAATATGAAGGGGGTATGGCAACACGTAAAAGAGGTCTTCTCCAGAACTCATGCTCAAAACTGGGTAGACGTGAGCCAAGCTAAGGTTGGTCGGGGGTACGAAGTGGGGAGCTAGCAAAGAGTGGAGCAAGG